GTAGGATGCACTTGGGGAATGACTGCTATTGGCATGTTAAATGGAAATAGGATTTCTTTTTCTAATGATGAAAAATGTTCTAAAATTATATTAATTGTTGTGATGTATGCACAACTTTGTGACTATCCTAAAAACTACTGAACACTATACTTTAACTGGATGAGCTGTATGGTGTGTGAATTAAGCTAGTAAATCTATTTTATAAAGGAAGGAGCAACGGCAATAACAAAGAGTGTGTTGAATGTTATGATTGGGAAAGGGTGATATTTAAGCAAGTAATACGGAAACTCAATTGAGTTAAGATATGAGGGGCCAGCAGTTAGCGTAATGGCTATGTCGCTGGACTCCCATGTAGTCGACTGCAGTTTGCGCCCTGGCCTAGTGGCTTAAAACTCACACTGGGCACATGTGCGTGCATGCCCAAGATCCCGAGAGGAGAATGGAGGAGAAGGGATTGCAGCGTGGCCATCCCCCCTGGGGTTGATTTCTTGCTTTCTGTCTCTCTCTCTGTCTGGCGAGCACACGCGCCCTATAGGAAAGACCTCTCAAAAAAAAAAAAAAGACATGAAAGACAAGAAGTTCAGTGACTAGACTGGAAAAAGCACAGAAAATAGAAGGAGAAAAAGGTATGCTGGTTTAGTGGCAGCAGAGAACAGGGAGGAGAGGCACAAGGAGTGGTTAGACAGGTAAGGAAAGGCCAAATGAGGTAGGCTCTTGTGGTCTGTTATTGAGTCTCTATTTTCCTGTGTAATAGTCACCAAACTTTGAAGGGGTTTAACCTGGTAAATGCAATGATTGGATTTGAATTTTTGAAAGTAAGTTCTAGCTGCAGGAAATTGATTTGAGGGGTAGGAGTAGATACAGGAAAATGAGTTAGAGAGCCAATACAAAAGCCAAGGAGAGACAGGATGTCTGAGAGATCCAAACTGAAGTAGTTTGAGGCGAAGGTAGAAAATAAAGATATGGAGATAATTAGCCCTTATACAAATTCTAAGTGTGATGGTAGAAGAGATTCAAAAGTTATACTATCTGGAAGAGAATGTGAGATGATGAAATTTAGAAAAATAGACATGTTTAAATGGGAATTGGAAGACTCCAGACAAAAAGAGAATGAGGTTTAGTATTCCAAAGACAGAGAAGAGAATTCACTCAATCAGGTCCTTGAGAAGGTGGAAGATAATGAAGTATAGAACACTCTTGGAAGGACATGCCCTCTAATGTAAAAAGAGAAAGAGAGGAAATGGTTACAGATGAACTTGTGCTTGTAGATATGGAGGCAGAACTTCTTCATTTTCCTTCCTCCAGTTCTGCAAAGCAACACATGAGTCAACAGTGAATATGCTTCAATAATGTGATATCAGAGAGTGGTGATTGATGAGGAAGCTAAGAGAGCACTCTAGGATAGGCATTAATGAAAAATACTGAAATACATTGCCATGCATCCTGTATTACACTTCCTCCTTATATAATCTTCAAAACAGGAAAGATGGAAACATTAGTTAAGAGGGAGTTGGGGCCACATACAGGAAAAGGGATAGTGAGAGACAATACTATACACTTCAAAGGGATTCTGGCATATAGATAACGGTTACTAGGAGGACACAGATGAAAATCAGAAGGAATAAATAAAGAAGCGAAACTTTGTAAGGCAGCAAAGGCATCTGGTATGTACTTGAAGGCCTGGCATGTCTGTTCTCTTTCTCTACAGTATTACAGAGAACAGAGCTAGAAGCATGTGTAAAGGTTTTAAGAAAGTAGGTTGTTGCCCCTATATAAAGAATAACTAATGCCTGGAGATGCCCAACAATGGGAAACGCAAAATATTGAGCTCCTCATGACTGGAAGATTCTGCTACAACAGGTGGAGGGGTAGGACTATGTAACTCTAAGGTTTGTCCTATGGAAATAAACATTAAAAATGTGACTTGGGTGTTGACTCTCCAGCACACTCATGCAAGAGGTATAAAAGCCAATGCCTAGGGAACCAGCAGTTAGCGTAATGGCTATGTCGCTGGACTCCCACGTAGTCGACCGTGGTTCGTGTCCTGGACCCGGTGGCTTAAAACTCACGCCGGGCGCGTGTGCATGCGTGCCCAAGATCCCGAGAGGAGAATGGAGGAGAAGGGATTGCGGCGTGACCATCCCCCCGGGGGGTGATTTCTCGCTTTCTGTCTCTATGTCTCTCTCTGTCTGTCTGGCGAGTGCACGCGCCCTACAGTGAAAATCTCTCAAAAAAAAACAAAAAAAAGCCAATGCCTAAAGATGTCAATAATTTGTCTGATGCTGCATAGTGAGGCAATGGCAGAGCTGGACTAGACTCAACTTTCCTCTTCCAAGGCTTGGCCATTGCTATTACTCCACAGCATCTTATTTATACACCATTTATTTTTATTTTATTTTATTTTATTTTATTTTATTTTATGTTATTTTATTTTAATTTCTTTGATACACTCAATCACATATGTCACTTAGCTTGTAAAGTGAATATTCCAACATGAATATATTTCTCACCAGTCCAATTGAGGATACTATGTATGTTATCATCAACAGATAATAACCCAATTCTTTGTCCCATAAATGTCTTGTCTCTCTATTTTTCTCCTTAATGTCTTTCCTAAGACTCTCCTCCTTCTCCCACCCTCTTCTCACACTGCATCTGGTATCTATAATCATGTTCTATGTTTCTATATCCTCTAGTCATTCAATTTTGACCATAGAGTGTGGACAGTCAGTATACATTAAGTGGAGACATACAATGTCTCTCCTTCATAGCCTGACTTGCTTCATGCAGTAGTAAATTTTCCATATTCCTTTTCAATACAGTACTGGAAGTCTTTGCTGATGTAATTAGAAAAGAGAATAAAATAAAAGGCATTCAAATAGGAAAAGAAGAGGTAAAATAATTTCTATTTGTAGATGACACAATTGTATACATAGAAGACTTAATAGTATCCACAAGAAAATTCCTGGAAGTAATAAATGAATAAAGTAAAGTTGCAGGATACAAAATCAACATACAGAAATCTATAGCATTTCTATGTATGAACAGCAGGCAGACTGAGCTAGAACTGAAGAAAGTAATTCAATTTATACACCATTTCTATCACTTTTCCTGTGATGAGTGACCATCTTTTCTCTTTGGAACTTCAATTCTAAATTCTAAATTCCTCATTTTTGACTTGCAGGCCATACTCTGCCTTGAACGCCCACTGGTCTACATAGTCTGGATGAAATATGAAGAATTGACTACTGAGTAGCTGAACCTTGGTTCCACATAGACACAGGCACTGCAATCCCTGGGTAAGATGTTCCCAGGGAGAGAATTCTTGGAGAAGGGGAATCATGCTCCTAGGAAGAAATGATTCCATGTCTTACCTGAACTGTGGCTTCTGTGCTACTCCTTGCTTCAGTTGTACATGACCAGGTTCATCCACTGAGAAATAAACATCATCATTGCAACCAAATTCTTTAAGCTTGTAAGCTTAGTATAGAGCAGGGCAAATGCCACCTGCCTCCCTCAGAAGGTCTTGGTCCAGTCTCATCAACCTTTTCTATTCCAACCCAGGCAGAAGGTCTCAGCCCCCTGTTATGGTGTATCTTCTGCTACTCCCTAAGTAGTCAGGCAGTGAAAGGGATGTCTGAGGTCAACCAGCTGATGGGTCAGGAGGCTCTAAGATTCAATGTGAGCAAGTTTAATGTACAGTGAGCTTGGCGGGCTGTTCTTAGTTCCCTCCTAGATTTATGACTCCCACATAATCCTCTGCTTTATTAAGCTATTGGAAAAAAATAAAATCTGTCTGCCAAGATCCTAAAGCAGCCTGGCAGCCAGCAATATATAAAGGCAGTAATTGGAGGCAGGGGGGTTGGCAGCTTGGCCGGCCTTTGATGGACTGTTCAATATCCTCAGGGAGAAGAAAAATGCCCCCTGGAATCGGATTAGGAGAGGTAGCCTAGGGCTGTACCCTGTCCCTGGGAAGGGAAGGCAACTCACCTCCATTTCTGTCAGGTAGAGTCCTTTTCCATCCATGGAGAGGTTACGAAAAGTCTCTGGGGGAAGAAGGAAAGGTACTGACTGAGGAGGAGGGAACCAGGGCAAGCCAGAGGAGGCAGGCCTGGGCTCGTAGGAAGGTAAAGGCAATGTGGTGATTCTATGCAAAGTACAACCGTTCCCCCACCCTACCGCCCACCATCCCTGTCCCTCCACTGTTCATGGGGTGTGCCATTTCCCCGTCCTTTTCTCTTTCTAGCTAAGGTGTCCACCACGGCGCAGCACAGGGTTCACCTTTTCAAAGTGGCTCTTGGTGGCTGTTCTGCCTCTTCCTCTTCCAGGTTCCTGACCCTTTGCATCCTCCCCACTTGGCTATGGAGCTGTGTAGGCTTGTATTTCCTTCACAGGCATAATGTGTGATTCTCCCTGTTCAACCCACAACTCTGTGGGCAAGGTATGGGCCTATGCTTCTCGTTTACCCTCCCAGGTTTCTATTCTCTCAGTCTTTGAGTGCCCAATGCAGAGCTGGAGGGTTTGCAGAGGTGCTCACAGCAGGAGTGGTGCAAGGATTAGGAGGTACCCTGGCCCCTTCACTACCTGAACCTCAACAGCTCCCTTCTGAGCTCCGTGATGGCCTGGGGTTTCACATGATTTTCATTTGAAATGAAGGGTCATGCTGTTGCTACAAGCTATGGAAACCTCTGCCCCACACAGTTGGATTTCTGCAGCCTGGAGAAAAGTCTGCTCCCACTTATTCACTTGTGTGTGATATTCCTTCAGCAGAGACCAAAAGCTTTCACTGCATGACCAAAGAATAGATTTCAATTATAAACACACCCTGGAGAGGGGACAGAGAGATTTAAATAAACCTTGTTCCTGAGAGAGGAGCTGTTGAGGGTGATGAGGAAATAAGAGCTAGGACAGGGCAAGTGCTGGGGAGAAAGGGTGCAGAAGGGAGGGGCGGTACAGATGTCTACACTATTCATAGCCTCAGTTGGCTCCATCCAGGCTCCATCCAGGCTCCATCCTCTCAAAGCCAGAGTGTCTCACACAGGACACAGCCCTCCTCACCATGGAGGCCTTGCCCAGGATGGGGGCAGAAGTATGTTCTTTGGTCACTGTGAAGGTCTCCACAGGGTACACCAGGGTACTTACTTGCCATGGCTTCGAGCCGTATCAGGAAGCAGACCAGGCTGGGGAAGCTGACCCTGCCGGTGTTGTCACTGTACCTGAGCATCATGAGACCCAGCAGCTCACTGCTGATGAAGATCCCTGAAAGGAAGTCTGGGCCACAAGGGGAGGTAGTGAACTGGGGAGGACTTGCCAGGGTTTGAGACACTTGTTCAAAGAACTTAGCAGCCTTCTAGCACTATCTCCTACTGGCTTGGCAGCCTGTCCACCTTGCTTCAGTGTCTCTCTCTGATGCTCCTGTTTGGGGGTCCCAGTGACACAATGCTGGAGTGTGGCCAAAGACCAACTCAAGATACTTGACACTGGCTGTTCTGGAGACACCTCAGCCTTCACAACCACTGGACAACTCTTATGCAGTAGGGAGGACCTCCGGAGTTTTCTTGCAGCCCTGCCTCTGCCAGGCCTTTCTGCTGCAAGCACTGCTGAGCAAGGCAAGGAAAAGAGCCTGGTGGCCTGCTGGCCCTGTGCACCCAGAGACACATTTGCTTTTTCCAGCCCCATTAATAAAACATGAAATGAATGCCTTTCCATAGGCGTGCTCTCTCCAGCTTGTCACACTCTCAAATCACCCATTTTCTGACAGCTAGCTCCATTATCCCTTTCATTTACCTGCCTAGCCCCTGAAGAATTTTGAGTTGAATTGAAACTGTTCTCTACTTTTTCCCTTTCATTATTCTGAAGACATTAGTGAAATTTCCTTTAAAGATTTCATCTGTAACTGGCTCTCCAGTGGTTCTCTCTCTCTCTTTTAAGTTTGTTATAGGGTATGTACACTCACCAGAAAGATAAAGAGAGAATGAGAGACACAGAGAGAGGGAAAGTGAGAAATCACCCCTGGGGGTGGGTAGCCGTGCTGCAATTCTTCTCCAATCTCCTCTTGGGATTTTAGGCATGCATGCACATATGCCCAGCAAGTTTTTCAAGCCTCCAGGTCCAGAACTTGCACCCAGTCAGCCATGTGGGGTCCAGAGGCTTTACCCTTTATGCTACCAGCTGGCCCAGTGGCCCTCAAAGTATGGTCTTCACAGCAGGTGCTGAGCATCATCCAGACCTTCTTAGAAGTGCAATTTAAAAAAATATTCTCCCACCCCACCACCCCATCTCCTGAATCAGACACCGAGGGCACAGCTCAGCAGTCTGTGCTGTAGGGGAGTCTGATGGTGCTGAAGTTCAAGTAGCAGCTCTCTACTGTAGAGAATTAAGGGGAGATTAATGCCAAAAAGGGAACACCCTTCCTGTATTTCTACCCATCTCTAGGACTGGAACCATGGGACAGAGAATGTTAATGCCTTTCTTTGTGTTCATCCCAGAAAACATGATTTTACATTTTATTAAGGAAGGCAGTCATTTTCTCAGGTAACCTTTGTGTGATCCATCTTCCCCATCAGGACAGTAAAGATAATGATTCCTGCCCTTCCTGGCTTACAAGGTAGTCGAGACAATCAAAGGAGATAGCGTGAATAGAAATTCTTGGTGAACTCTGAAGCTCTTATGGCCCCTAAGGTATTATTATCATTAGCCCAGGGCTGAAAGCTTTTGCCATTTCATTTAATTTAGCCTCCAAGCCCTTACTTGAAGCAGACAGATGCCATTTCATTTAATTTAGCCTCCAAGCCCTCTGTGAAGAGAGAGGAGCGGGATCATCAGCCTGCCCATGGGTATTTAACCCTGATGGCCCAGACACTGAGATGGAAGCATCCCTAAGGCGAGCTTGACTCCTGGTGGGCGTCAGTCTTGCAGGGCTATTTTCTCACAATTAGGGCTGTGCTGAACAGCTCTGGGCAGCTGGGAAAGTTGACTGGCACATGAGAACTCAGGGGGGATGACTCCCAGAGTCTTGGAGGTGTGTTGAGGTCAGTGTAAACCTGGGACAGGGAAGCAGCAACTTTCCTCTTTTCTGACAGCCCAGCATTGCAGCACTAGCCTTGTTTCACCATACTAAGGCACACACAGACCCCACAACCTCAGTCACCATGACTCAAGGGGCCCCGGCTTTACCTGTATTCTCTATGGCCTTCTGCAAGTCTGAGCTCAGAAGAACTCCAGAGTGCTGGATGCTCTGGAAAACATGCTGATATGGAAGAGAAGCAAGAAGCCGGTGTGAGGATGAAGAAGATGTCCTGGATGGGGATGTGGGGGTGGAGTGTGTCTCAGAAATTCCTTTCCCATCCCTGGAACTTGCTTCACAAGAACTTGGGTGGAGCCAGCTTAGAAGTAGGCAGACTTCAGTGGAACATACACCTGCCACAGCCCACTATCACTGTACCAGCTAAGGGCTGCAGGTCCCCTCCCCAACCTGCTCCCTGCTCCTGCTCAGCCCCTAGATTGGTCCCAGATGCAGATGCATAGGGCAGCTGGTGAATTCAAGAGAAGTGTAGGACTCTCTACAGTGTTTGCATAGGGTAATGGTCAAGAGCGTTAAACTTGACAACTAAACTGCCTAAATTCCTGCCCAATTATTGGGTCATCAGAAAAGTCATGACATATTTTTCTATGTGTTTCTATGCAAAGATACATCATGACTTTTCCCATGACTCTATGTTTATCTGCTGGGTAATCTTGGGCACGTTATTTAATCTTTTTCAGTTTCTTCATCTGTAACATGGATAGTCCCTACCTCATAGGTGTATTGCAAGGAGTAAATGAGCTAGTACTTATAAAGTGCTCGGGTGAGTGCCTTGTACGTCAGTGAGTAATGTGTAGAAAGTATTGAAAGCAGGTTAGAACTGCATTTTGGATCCAAGCAGGGTTGCAGAAGGTAGTAACTGTAACTTCTCATTTTGTACAACTCTTGAACTTAGCCAGGACTTCCTACCTCTACCTAATTCTGACTGGAACCCAATTATCATCACACTTCACAGCTGAGGAAATTGATGCTCAGACTGGTGGTATTTTGCTTTGGGTTATGCAAGAACTTCAGGACTCAGTACTAATTTTTGTCTTTGCTCAGCTGCCCCACAGGGGCCGCTCAAAGCAAAATGCCCCACATGTGGGTGTGTGACTGGGGTCAACTGTAGGAGATGGTTACTGTGAACTAGCAGCTTGGAGCCTATTCTTGACATTTTTGGCTTTTCATGAGTATAAAGACAGATCTAGGGTGTTCTCAAATAGGCCTTCACTTGTTCATTTGTAATTTATTAGTGTGGCTATTTATTCAGCATTTTTCAACTCTTGCTGTGTTTTAGACACTAAGGCGGCAATGGGGAAAGATGAATATGAGGGAGCACCTTCCCTGGAGGACCCCACAAACTAATGGGGTGGGGGTGGGCATGCCGACATCTGCTGTGCCCTGTGAGAAACGGAATGACTCCACATCAGGGATTAGGTGAAGCAGCCTGGTGCTGCACATATACCTCTCCAAACAAAATGTGAGCTCTCCTTGAGGACAGAGGTGAGTTTCATCTTCCTGTGTACCCCCTGATCATGCAATACAGCTGGGCACCCAGTAAATGTTTGCTAACCTAGACAGAATGAGACTGCTAGTCATAGGAGCATGCCCATACCTGGCAGTGCACAAGCCGCATCCATAGCCTTGCAAATTCCTCATGGTCAAGTCGCCCATTCACTTTCAGCTGCATGGGGAGTTAAGAGTTAATCAGCCCAGCATGCAATGAGCAGAGGGGCTGCTGGTCCTGCCAGCGAGGCTGGAGCAGCTCCATCCATCAACTAGTAACACTGTCGGTCCAAAGTCACCTAGATGTGGCCCCACGCCAGCTGGCTCCTGCTACATCTGAAAGGGACCTGGCTCACTTTTTTGTTTTCCAAAAGAGAGAGAGAGAGGAGGAGAGAGAGAGAGAAGGAGGGAGGGGGAGGTAGGGAGGGAGACAGAGAGAGAGAGAGAGACAGAAATGGAAGAAGAAAGAAGTCCAAGAAAAGAAGGTCAATATCACTTGCATCTGGGGAAAGTGAGGGAGCCCAATACACAGCCTTTACCAGTTAGAGTGGGTTCCCTAGCGGGGGGGTGGGGTGAGAAGGAGCACAAGAGTCATTGTAACTCTAACTCCATGTTCATAGGTGTGGAGATCGTTTTTTTGTGTATTAGAGCCAGCCCTGGCTGCTCCATACAATAAATTCAGTGATGTCCAATGAAGGGAAAAGAACTGACCTCCACAAACTAGACAGGGAGCCAGTGGATGAGGAGGAGGAAGCGTTTAAAAGAGCAGTCCACTCTGTGAGGTTCAGCGTACACAGCCTCTCCTGTGGTACCTGCCCTGGGCTGTGGGGCTGTAGGGACCATTTGGATTCCTCTGTGAGGGATGCGGACAGTGTCTCCGAGCAATTCCAAACTACAGCCCGCAGAGACAGGGCATGATTTATGATTTCATCAAGAAACCCTCTTGTTCTACAATGGCCAGCTTCGCATTCCCAATCGAGCCTTGTTAACAGTGCAAGAACTGGGTGATCCGTCTCCCTCAGGAGCTGGTGAGGCAGCAGCCAGGAATATGCCCACATGCAGTCAGTCTCTCCTGCCTGTTGGGAGGTGCCTGGGGAGGGGAAGAAATATCTCACAGGTGAGTAGAAATCAGAGGAGAGGTGAAAGCCTGGGTTTTGATTTTTTTGGTCTTGCCACTGTGCCACTACAGAGTCAGGGAGCTGCCTCAATCCTGTCTCTCATCTGCAAATGCAGCAAAATAGTAACAATGGGGTTCAACTGCTGTGTAGACCAAAGAGCTTTCTATATGTTTTGGGCTGTTGTTATCTTTACTACAATGGTGGCTTGCTGAGTAAGGAATTTAAACAGTTAAGACTCCTCTTCCAGTGAGAAGGAAAAGGAAGAAGAGAAAAGAGTTCCCAATGGTACTGTAAGGAGGTGGTATTGAAGGTGGTTATACTTTGGAGGCTGAAGACTCCAAGATCAAATCCAGAGACAGAGGCAAATCCTGACCAGTCGTGTGATCTGAGCAAATTACTTAACCTCTCTGCAACCCGGTTTTTATTTATTTATTTATTTATTTTCATTTTAGGGTAAGATAACACCCTTTGCATCACAGGGGTTTTTGCAAGGACTATAAGAAAAAAGTGTGTATATACCCATTCAATTCTCAGCACACAGTAGATGCTTAATAGATGATAACTATTGCTATTGTTGAAACTTGTCTGGCGAGTTACTGAGTTAGTAGAGAATCCACAGAAACCTAGGCTGTTGGGTGAGGCCTGAGAACGAAGAAAGAAGGGAAAACACAGAAAGAGAAAAAAAAGGTTCTCTAATATTCTAACTAGACACCTGGGGAAGCATCTGGAACAGATGGGCTCTTAGTGTGACTGCAAAGGATACATCCATCAGGGCCACGATGCTGCGGCACTCGTCCAAGGAGAATGTGTCCCCTGGAGGCCCTGAGGAAGGGGCAACAGGAAAGACTGAAATGGTGGTGGTGGTGGTGATAGGGAAGGGGGTTGTGATGGTGGGGTTGAGACAGGACCTCCAGGCCCTTGGGCTGATCATACCTGTCAGGAATTCCTGGTTGAGAAGGCTCTGAAGCTGAGTAGCATCAATGTCCAGCCCCTGTTGCAAACAAAGGAGGAACATGGGGATCACATCAACACCTGGGACCTGAGAAACACACCTACTTGACTCCACAAAAGCACTCCTACTTCTACACAGTGCCCACTCTGGTGACAAAGCCTTCCACTGCTGCTCTGGGCCTTGCTGAAAACTCCGTCTCCTGGACATTGGCAGTGCTGGTCACTACTGATGTTTGATGCCTGGTGTGAGCTGCTTTGCAATCAGCACTCCCCTCATTACTGTACTGAAAGCAGTGTTCTCTTCCTACCCCCACACCTGGCACTTGAGAGCCCCTCAGAAGTATTATTCAAAGCCCTTTAGGTTGTCACCCATCTGCTTTCAAAAAGAGATGAAAAGAAAAAAATAAGATTCTCTGTGTGTGTGTGTGTGTGTGTGTGTATGTGTGCACACATGTGTGATAATAGGAGTTAAAAATATCAGAAATCTAGGCTAAGAGAAGCAGCTATAATTGAGCACATTACTTAGCATTAGCCTTCCCAGCCGTTGAAGCAAAAAGGGAGATGTCATGGTTTTCCCAGGATTAAAAGCAGGAAGCAATTGAGGCTGAGTGGAGAGAAAGCTTTTCCTGGCTTGAACTCTGGAAGAGTTAACTGCACTAGGTCTTATACTGGGGAAATTGGACAGCTTGATGGATGGGTCTCCAATGATGATTTTATAAAGAGGCAGAACTGTTTTACGTACTGCCCTTATATCCAGCCTGGTAAGAGAATGCAGGGATGACGTGACACATTCATTCTGGGAGAGTTTTACGTGGAGAACTGGTTCTGGAGTGAGTTTCTCCGCAGGTGACTTTGAAATGACACTTGGTCAGGTAGAAGTGGGAACCTCCTAGGGGTCATCCAAGCACCAGTACCTCTTAGACAGCAGACACACTATGCCTTCCATCTCCCAGGGTCCACCACACCACCCAGAAGAGAAAGCCAAAGCAGCCCACAGCCTGGGTCCTGGACCCCATAGGATGGTTCTTGAAAACATCCTGTCAGTGTCTGAAACTAGTTCTCAGGTCATCTCTCCAACATCTCACTGGTTTTGTCAGGGAAGTGGATGCTGAGTGCCCATCATCAATGGATTTCCTCTTCAAAAGAAGCATAATACTTCACTTTGGATAGCAGTTGACATGTTAATGGGGAACTCCAACTTACATGGAATTGTTCACTAGATCATATGCAGCTTTGGAGTACAAACCATGTCTTTTCCCTTCTTTTTTTTGGGAGAGGTTTTTGCTATAGGGCACGTGTGCTTGCCAGACAGAGAGAGACAGAGAGACAGAAAGTGAGAAATCACCCAACGGGGGGATGGCCATGCCGCAATCCCTTCTTCTCCATTCTCCTCTCGAGATCTTGGGCATGTACGCCCATGTGCCCGGCATGAGTTTTAAGCCACCCGGGTCCAGGACTTGAACCGCGGACAACTACATGGGAGTCCAGCGACATAGTCATTACGCTAACTGTTGGTCTCAATCTTTTTCCTTCTTCATATCACCCACCTGAGACAGAACCTTGACCTGGACTCTGAATTCAGTAACCAACTCAAAGTGTTTGAGAAAATGAGGGTAGCAAGGAAGACAATGGTTGCTTAAACAAATGCTCAGAGAACTGCATGTTTGCCTTTACCACCACAATGATAGATACCCCAGGGCTGTATCTGGTATTCCCAAAGCTTAGCATGGTACATTGTAAATATCTGCCAGTGACATAAATGACAGATGGGTCTGGCCCATCCCAGAGTCTGATGCATCCTTGCTTTCCCACAGGCAAATGCTGGGTTATAGCACTGTCACTGCTACTATAGCTAATGAAGGGAACTAGTGGTAGTAGCAAGACATTGCATCAGTTCAACACTAGTTAAACTGACCTAAGAGATCAGGAGAGAGGAGATAGTCTGTGTATGGATGAATAATTTGCCTTGAACTTTCTTTGGAGGAGACAGCCTCTGAGGATAGTTTGCAGGCTGTGCAGAATGATGCCAGGTGGGTCCTGCTCAAGGTGAGAGGTGAAAACGGGAGGGAATCCAGTCTCAGTCAGGCACCTTGGCACAATGGAGCATTTGTGTCTTATTTCAATTCCTGTGAAGGCCTCACATGGGCTGCAGTCACCTTTTAGAGGAAACATTTGGCTATTGTTTGGAAAGGTCCTAATTAGGGCATCTGTACTGTCTTACCATATGACAGAATATATTTTTATTTTAGAGGTGCAGGTGCATGGACCATGTGTGAGAATTTGCCACCTGCCCTTGAAGGAAGCTTGGTCTCAGGCATTCTAAACAGGCATCTGCTGAGGGGGTGCTAATCTGTCTTAATTCAGTTCAACAGAAATGATTGAACATCTCCTCTGTGCCAAGAACAGTGATCGGTGTTGGGGACAAGGAATTCATATGATGTCATCCCTACTGTCAGGAGCTCAGATTGGGGACAATCATCTTGGCTGGCCTTGTCATACATCAAGTGAACTGCCTTCTAAATCAGCCCAGATGGTGCGCCTGAATTCTGGGCCAATGCTGATTTCCTAGAGGTCCATGTACTCCTCATTCCAGCCACATTCTTCATTTCTCCAGCCTCCACCACCCACCCCACCTGGGCTGAGGCCACCTCAGGTTACCAGTGGCCCATTAGCCATCTGAGTGCAGGGGCAAGGTCTTGCCTGCTTCCTGTCCATGGCCTCTACCTGGCCCAAGTTGACACAGTTCATGTGATCATCTGTATCACTTCCAGCCCACGCCAACGTGTTATTAATGATAAAAGGTCCATCATGCAGAGCCCTTGGCAGGTGTTTTATCCTGACAGTTCAAGGAGTTCTTTATAACAGTTTATTAAACCATTAAGGAAATCTCACATGCACATAGGTGGCTTGGCAGGCAGGATGCTGTTGGTGCTTTCTGAAACTGGCCAGCTCCCGGGAGGAACTATGCCAGGTTGGTGGGGAGGTGGCGCAGTGGGAGAAGGAAAAATTGCAAGAGGGTACTGCCAATTGCTTCATTTTAAAGATTTAAAAGGCAATACATCTCAAACACCCATCCCCCCTTAGTCATCCTCCACCCTTTCTAAACTCTATATTCCATCTGGATGTCACTAGATGGAAGTGTCACTTCTCTCCAAAATTTGGCAGCCAGAGTAGTTCTAGAGATAATCCAGGGAGAGTCTGACAAAATGGCTCATCAAGTCAATTTTCCTCTCTGTGTCCTGATGAGGACCCGGAAGGGTCTTCCTCTCAAGTCCCTTCATCACCTGTCCTATACAAGACCTCTCAGTGCTAGGTACTGTACCTTCTTAGCGTATCTGTAGAAAATGCTTTGCTGGGAGCCATTTTCTAGAAGACTTGCCTGAATCAAAGGAAGAATAGCCAATATCAGACTTCTTTTTTTTTTTTTTTTTTTTGAGAGATTTTTGCTATAGGGCGCGTGCACTCGCCAGACAGACAGAGACATAGAGACAGAAAGTGAGAAATCACCCCCCAGGGGGGATGGTCATGCCACAATCCCTTCTCCTCCTGGGATCCTGGGCACGCACGCACACGTGCCCGGCGTGAGTTTTAAGCCACCGGGTCCAGGATGTGAACCGCGTTCAACTACGTGGGAGTCCAGTGACATAGCCATTATGCTAACTGCTGGTTCCCGCCAATATCAGACTTCTGAGAGGGAGCCCACCTGTCTGTTCAGTTAGGGTACAATAATGCACACCTGGGTCTTAAGACAGACTCTTCACTTGGCAATTGGAAACAATCTTCAGGAGAATGAGAAAACTAAAGCTCATGGAATGAAGATGGTTGGATCTAGCTTGGCCTTGGAGGCCTGGTCTTCCCTACCCCACCCCTCTGAGCCATCAATGGCCCATTACAGTGTCCGTTTTCATCAGTCAGTGATGAAGCAAGAAAAGAAATAGGAGCTCTTGGAGATGGAATGTGGCAAATGCAGGTCACCAGCTAGACCTTGCTGTGCACCTACCTTCAGTGCTCTGAGGTTGAAATTGCTGTTCAGGTTCCTAGAAAATTAGGGGGACAGTGTGACAAGGACAGCCAGTTCACCATTTAAAGGAAGCATGCACTTGGAGGGCACCCTAGATGACACTGTTCATTTATGCCAAGGACCTGGGTGGAGAGCACTCAGCACTGCAGGATGTGGAGTGGGCAGCCACAGCAGTCAGCAGGTAAGTGAGTACCACAGCCATGTGTCCAGCGTTTTGAGTAGACATGGTCTGGTCTTCTAACCATGTAGTAAATGGTTGCTTTCACAACCAAGCACAGATGGATGGTGACCTCCATTGTCAGGATGGAAGAAAAGCTTTATCTTATGTTTCATCTGTACTTGGTATAATAATGATTACCTGGGACTCTGGACTGAGAAGTCCTCCTCCACACTCCACTGTAAAGACCACCATGATTACAGTGATGTCTGCCTCAGGCTAGAGTGAACCAGAGGTCCAGCTGGGTGAGTATATGTTCATCCCAGTCTTGGCTTATTGCGTTGGCCTTCAAGACCTCCATGATCAGACCTTACCTTGCAGGCCCATCTTTCATGGTCTTACAGACCTATGCCACATTCCAGCCACATTTCAGGCAATTTGACATGAAACCATCTTCCTGCATTCCTCACTTATTCTTCAGCAAACCCTGTGCTGACCCACTTCTTTAATTCTGCTTATGCTCTTTTCTTCCACTTGCATGACCTTCTTTTTTCAATCATTAAATTCTATTTTCCTTGAAGGATCATCTCAAAGGCCATTTCCTCCAAGAAGCCTTTCTCAGTTCCTCTTGCCAGAATGCTATTCTTTCTCCTTCCATGCAACCTTCCCCCCAGCAATTGCTCCATCCTGTTTGTGGTCTAGCTATTGACGTATAGACTTTCTTTCCCTCCTGTGATGAGCAGGGCTCATATTGCATTCCCCGTCAGCACAGGACGTGCTGCACAGAATGCACAGAGCATACTTCATAATGATACAATGCATTTTTATAAAAGTAAACAGACTGAAACAGTTCGGATTCCAGAGGATGTGTACCTGGAACTGTCTGGTACTTTTAGGAAGATTCGGAGAAAGAATTCAGCTTCTTCTCTACGTGCTGAGGGGACCACAACATAGGTCCCAGGGCTCAGATGCAAGGACTTTGTGAAGTTGCGCTTGGTTTCATGATCTAGGCCCTGGGCAGCATTTCTAAATGGAGAGAAGAACTCTGGTGGCAATCTCTCTCCAAACTGCTGAAACTAGAAGAAACATCATTATTATGAGAAAGCCCCTTCCGTGCATGGGCCTGACACCAAAAGAAACCCACCACCTTCCAGACCTCTTTGTTCACCAAAACATGCTACATGTAATGCACAGAGCACTGCATGTAACGACCATGCATTGCAAGCCCCACAAAAGAGGAGAGTGCTTACCCGAACTCTTGAAAGCAGGAGCATTTAGCCCGTTATTTTGTCTAAAACCCAGAGACTATAATGAATGCAAAGAAATATGACAGTTTTATTTCACTAGGTTTAATAGCATCCTGGGTTTCTGAACTTACTGTCTGCTTATATAAAGGGATTTCCAAAAATTCATGGAAAAATGGAATTAAAGTAGTAGCTTATTTTGGTGAAAATTTTTTGAAATTCCTGCATAGTTTGTTCATAATGCACATTTTTTTTTTCATGAACTTTTTGAGACCTCCCCTTATATAAGAGAGAAAACTTCCATGGAAACCAGTGGCATTGTTCCAAAATCAGATTCCTTCTGGGGGCCCTAAAGCCCCTTCTCTCCTGATCTTTCAGTGAAATACTCTGAACTGCTATAGCACTGTGAAGTTGAAGTCTTTTTACTTCCTCTTTTATCTCTCCAACTGAGCCCTGAGATTCCTTCTCATTGGAGAATAATAGGCCCTGATCATTTTCCTTTTATTTCAATATTTTCTTAGAGATAAAACAATAAATATAATGCAGTTCCTATTACTGAATGTCACATACATATTACATAATAAAAACCCCTTACTAAACAAATTTTCTCCACTACAGTTGAGCATGGGGATTCCATTTAGAATGGTTATGCAGCATGAAATGATTATTTATGAGCTCTGCCTTGGGGGAAAACAAGGGGAAGGAGGAAATTTCTTTTCAGGGTGTAGGGACAGGGCTGAGACAGGAGCTAGGCTGCTGCCCCAGGTGTACAGCTGGGGCTCTGTAGAAACTCCCAAGCAATTCTGCTGACATTAATCGGCAGCCCCAGAGGGTTAGGAACCTGACTTGCTTGGGCCTGTCAGGGGATAGCAATGATGGGACCAGCTTTTCTCCAGAGGGTCAGCAATATCTGTGGCTCTGGCTATGAGCGTGGGCATGTGGGAAGCAGTGCGCATGTGGAGATATGTGGATGACATGCCCCCTTACTATCTATCTAGAGGGTAAGGATCTTGCTGCCTATCTTCTTGCCTCCTCTTCATATTGGACCCTTGCGACCCTGTTCAGGCTTTTAATCCTTTAGAACAGACTTTCTCAGTGGCAGTGAGAAGCGTTGAGTGTGAAGATTAATGGCCCAGTGCTTGAGGCCCCAGCATCAAACTGACGCAGGGCTATCTGTTCACAGACCTGACTCAGTAGTTCCAGAATGGGGTTTGTGCCTTTTCCTGAATCAAGTCCCCACCTGGCTCTCCAGCTCTGGGAATTGGAACACTGACATGTGTATTGCAGTGAGTGCTTCCCAGGAAGTCCTAATCACTGTTTCACTTCCATTGCTGGGGTTCCAGGACCAGAGTCAGGTCCCAACTCCACCACTGTGATCAAGAGAACTCCTAACAGTTAAGCTTTCTGCCTGGACTTCTGAGTAGCCCCTGCTCTAAGGCCCCCTGACAAGGTTTCTGCCTATTTGTTGGAGCTCCCGTGTAAAGTCTGCAAGTAATATAGTCACCATCTATTGGCACTGCAGAGCTCACAGCTGTGAGAAGTCCAAGTGTCTGTGAGGACAGGTTTTGTGAACCCCATCCACTCTTATTCATTCTTCCTCATGGTTTTAAGTTACCTTTCACCAATAGAGCCCCATTACCCTATTGCTTGTAAGAAGAGCTAGCAGATGTGCTGATAACTCATTTGGGGAGTTTTGCATTTTGTTTGTGTTGACTCAGGGACTGACTAATTCAGAAGGCACCTCAAAAGGAGCCCGTTAGTGCTGCTCTCATCTTAAGTACAAAGGAACTGCTCCATCAATCATATCCCTCGAACAGGGGCCAACTACTTGAGGATCCACTCACAGTTATAGCCTTTCCTGAATGTTAAATGAGAGAACAGACCAAAGGGTCCAACTTGCAGACCAGGAGAAATAAAATATTTTTCTGTTTGAAGATTCTAAGCTTGTATCTGATACAAGACATAGCAAGATTGAATTTGTAGTTACTAAACATGCGAAGGCCATGGTGTTGGAAGAGGCATAACATTTTACCAACAGACAGCAACAAAGGCATGGGAAGTCCAGCGAGGGCAATGGTGAGCCATACCTGGGGGTCAACCTGTGGGGAAGAGTAAAAAAGGCATATTTAGGATCCCAAACCCAATCAAAGTGTAAGCAGCTCCGTGCAGCCTGGCTCAGGGTTCCACATTCCTTCCTCTGTGTGGTCGGCCTGTTTTCTGGCACACCTGGCCACGAACTGGTACAATTACTCATTCTCTGTGCCAGGTTGTAAAAAAAGGGAACCTACTCAGTTATAGAGAGCAAACGAGGAAGGAAATTGAAGAGGAAAACATGTCTGAGAGTGGGAGGTGTTCCCCTGGTAGCTCAGCAAGGTGTAGTTACTATTTGTAACCATGTAGCAATGATGACATCATTGGACAGGTAAAGGTGAGATTGGCAGGGCCTGGATCAAATGTGAATTTCCCATTATTGAGAGCTTCAATGGGAAGTCAATTTCTTTTCCTTCCATCAGACCACTGTAAATGTGGTGGAATTTGTTCCAGTCATCCATCCCAGTGTTTGTAGGAATAATGTATGTGTTCATATAAGTGGGAAGATACCTATATACCAGTCTCTCCACATGGGAGAAGGAAACACTGGGAGGCAGTTCCATTTTTAAGCTACTCCACAGTTTGCAAAGCACTCTATGTAATGTGTTGGATATTCACAATAATCTTGCAAATAGATACTTGGCTCCCTATTTTATGTATGTTAAAAACTGAAGCTCAGCAGTCTAAGTGGCTGAGTTAGGAATAGAGCAAACTGTGTTGCTTCCTTTGTTATTAAGCTCTCTTCTCCAACTCCCCTGCTCACTAGGAGCTGTCTTCTCCAGTTGGTGTAGGTCTTGATTCTTTTCCATTTTTTTTGAGAGGTTTTTCCTATAGGGCACGTGCACTCGCCAGACAGACAGAGACAGAGAGACAGAGAGTGAGAAATCACCCTCCAGGGGGGATGGCCACGCCGCAATCCCTTCTCCTCCATTCTCCTCTCAGGATCTTGGGCACGCATGCACATGCGCCCGGTGTGAGTTTTAAGCCTCCGGGTCTGGGATGCGAACTGCGGTCAACTACATGGGAGTCCAGCAACATAGCCATTACGCTAACTGCTGATCCCAGATTCTTTTCCACTTTTGATCCATCCTGGGCCCTACTCATGTGTATAGATAGATTAGCTGATTTGCCCAGGCAAACTTCTCTGGGGGACAGGGGAAGCAGGGATGGATATAAAAAAAAAGTCCAAGTCTAGAGAAGGAGCCTTGGGTGAGGGTAAAATGGCTAGTCCACCCTTGTCCTTTTTCAAGGTCCTGTCTTCTTCCTGCTTGTTTATATACCACTGGTGTTTGTAAGGTGGTGTAATACTCCCACAGCGACTGCTGGAGCACCATTATCAACGGGGCAATACTAAACCCACAAATACCATCAGAGCCCTGGGAACTTTCAAGAGCCTGGTTCTGGCACATGAATAACTTGTTTCTCAACTTAATTATGACAGGAACCTTTTGCATTATCAAGGTTTGAACCGTCCTTCGGTATCAGCTCAATCAGGATCCTGTAAGATCTGCTGCGATCTCCAGGTAACTTGAGGAAATCTCAGGTGTGAGAACTCCTTCCTCAAAGTGGGTAGCTAAGAAATGATACATCTCTGGCTGGAAAGTAGAGAACTAGATTTGGAAGCACCTTAAAAATCTATTTGATTGCAATCTTGCTAGGGCTCCTGAATTGTAAAACTTCAGGTAAATCAACACAAGGTTGCTGTGTTGCACAGCTCTGGGGCACCAGGTTCAGAAATGACACTGTAAACAGCAGCTTCAGGAGTTGTGCACTGAGGCAGTCCTTAGACCCTCTGTGGAATTCTGTCTCACATCAGATAAAGGAAGAGTTGCTTGAGGTAGTTTTAGTTGGCCTGTCTGCAGCTCTGACCTGTTCATTCCTAGATGGGCAGACCAGGTACCTCAACTCTTCAGCTCTTCCCAGATCCTCCTTCTGTTCCAACCTTTTGTTTTTCTTCTCAGAGCTAAGGGTTGGGAGACTCTGGGGATAAGGGTCCTTTTAGAAGGCTAAAAACAGTTGGGTTTTTGGGTGGCCAGACTGCTTTTGAATAACGACATTAGGTTCTACAACATACCAGAATATGCTGACAACTGATATAGGTAGGAGACATGCCCTGCTGTAAACACAGGCAAGCCTAACCTTCTCTTCAGCCTAAGATTCTTTTTTTTTTTCTTTGCAAATTTAGAATCAGACTAGATGAACACTATAGCCACTTTGGGCTTCATATCCAAGGCTTTGGATTTGAAGGCAGTCAAATCTTCCAGCCTGGCTGGCTTCTCTCCCCAGTCCAAGGTATACACAAATGTCCCAAAGTAGTAAGCTCTGAAGCATACTGCCTTACCTTGAACACCTGGAAGCTTAATGGAAATATCTCATCTTCTGATTTCCAGCTCTGTGGCATGATGGTGAAGGACACAACAACATTGATTCCCTCTGTTTGCTTTGGCACAAAGAAGAAGTACTGAGCTTCCCTCTGAGATTGTCCTGCATAAGAAAGTGCTGTTACTAGAACTCAGTTGTATCCCTGACACCCCCAGTGGGGCCATGTTCAGTTTGGGGAGCCCTGTGGGATTGTATTATAAAATAAATTTGGAGACCTAAGACCTGGGTCCCAACCCCCACAGTTACTAGTTGTGGTACAAGTTTGATTATTTTGATTATTTTCTTTTAAAAAATTATTCTATTTATTATTATTGCTATTTTCAATTTGACTAGAGAGAGACAGGGAGAGAAAGAGAGAGACAGGGAAAGTGAGAAAGCAAGTCACCAGGTCCAGGATTCCAACTGTGTTTGGCCATGTGGGTGGCCACCATGCCACCTGCCGGCCCCAAAGTTTGATTATTTTCTAAGCCTTAGTGTCTTCTTAAAAACAAGGAATAGGGAAGTTAAGAGAAAATGTTTCTTAAATATAAAGGCCAAGGCTATTTTTATATTACACAGTGAAATTGTAGAGTCCCCAGCCATGCATGAACTTAAGCATTGGCAGTAACCATAAGAGCCTTGAAATGGTGTCAGTTGCCCAAGCACCTGTGGAAACAGAGGAGCATGGGCAGGGAGATGGCAATTCACAGGACTCATCTGCCTAAGCCTGCTCATTGAAGCCAGAACGAGAGAGAGAGAGAACTAATGTGAAAGCTGTCAGAAAGGATGAGGATAAGTCAAGATAGAAACAAATGAATACACATATGAAGGTTTGGGTCACAATTGGGAAGCTGTAAAAGGGGAATAGGGAAATTTAGAAGACTGTCATGGTCACAGGCTTTCTATGAGGATTGAGTAAGATGATACATTAAAATGCACTTAGCAGCACATAGCGGGCACTCAGTTGCTAGCTTCCTTCCTTTTCTCCCTTGCAAGGTATTACTAAAAATTGCCCCAATGTGTAATTTCAGTTAACTCATTGATATGTATTATTTCCAGAGAAGACTGGCTCTTCAGTCAGATAGGTGTGGCTAGGGAACGTGAATCAGTGAACTGGCTGCCCGAGAGGGACTTGGCAGTTCTTTAGAGTCTGCCTAGGCTTCCTGGTGATGAGATTCTCTGAGCAGAAGAGTGAAGAGCCTGGAGTTTGAAAAGAGGGATGGCCCAGGGTATGGAGGCATTCGAGCAAACCATTTCAGGAAAATGAATGTGTATATCTGGGTGCCAACATACACATGTACACACTTACATACAAATACATGTTTATAGCCTCTTTAATCAAGGATATATAAGCATATAAGCATACTTAGATTTGTCTTCAAATGGACCTATTTTACTTCTCACTGTAACAAACAGGAATAGGGAGGCACAGTGAGGGTATGTGACTCCCCTAAGGCCACGATCAAAAAAATTCATCTCAGGGGACCCCAAAGTTATGTTCAGAGTCATTTACTTTTGCGATCTCATCCACTAAGACTGGGCAGAAATATTGTGTTTAGATGGTGCTTTGTGGGTTCAAGGAGCAGGCAATTCTACTGTTCATAGTTGGGGATGCTGAGGATAGAGAGGCCATTTGAAGTCCCAAAGTCACCTAGTTAGTGTGTGGCAAAGACAATGGTTTGACCTAAGCCCCAACTTGTGTCCAATATTTGTACATAGCCCTCCCCACTACCCTGTTTATTTACTAAAGACTAGAGAGCCTGCTCTACTCCTAGGGGAGGTTGGAGGTTAGTTGAAAGGCAGTGGTAGACCTGGAAGGGCTGGGGGTGTGGAGACACTTTAAACGGTCTCCTGACCCTCCAGCCCCGGCAATCATTTTCCTTGGAGAAATAGTAACTATTCCTTTTGGGATGATAAATTCCTCTCTTTTCAACTTTATGCTGGTGATGGCTCAGAATTAAAGGCCAGAGAAAACTGAAGCCATGGTAGGGCGAGGACTGATGGCTTCCAGGCTAGAAGGACAATTACTAATGTCATAACTACCTGCAGTGTTTCCTCGAATCACTTGGTTCTTAAACATCATTTGGGACCATCTTTCATGGAGTGGGTTTCCATGGTCCAGAGTGATGGGAATTTGGTTACATATAAAAAGGCAGGAGAAGTTCTCTTGGAAATCTTGACATGACATCCTGTTAAAAACAGACACACATCACTAAATAAACACTGGTTCTGTTCTTGGAAATGGAGGTTCCTGTCCCTTTGTGTACCTTGACTCTGTCAGCTACAGTACTCACAGACTCACTGTCCTATGTGAAGGCCAGAGTCTGATTCTGGTTCATTCAACATCAAGCTCTCTTTGGCTTTTTCATCCTCTCTCCCTCCAGTGGTTAGGAGGACAGAAACAGTGTCAAATTCTGGGTTCTGCCTGTCACTTGGTAGGGGCTTCATCATTAAAAACCATTTCTTCTACTCCCTTCTCTAATTGTGAGCCATTTTCTGGCTGGACGGGAAGAATGTCAGTCATTCTTTGCAATGGGTCCTCTATGCTGCTAGGAAAATTGCCTTGCCCTAGGGCCCTTTGTCAAATTTATTGTTCAGGTCTTTATCAGAATAAAACAGATTCAACACCTAAAATCTCACTTGCTATTGTGATTAAAGTAGAGATATTGGGAACATTTCTCATCTAATTTATATTTGTCTCTCTGATTCTTAAGTGCTTAGACCCAAGCTTCTTTTCATACATGCAACATTTACTGAAATGTTATTAGGTAAACCAGACAACCCCTCTGAGAAATGTCCATCTCATCTTCTAAAATGTGAGAACATTTTTTTTTTTATTGCCAGAGGGCACATGTGGTTGACAAAGAGAAGAAAGTACTCCCACTCATGGGGTATGGTCATGCCATAATCCTTTGTTCTCCACTTTTTCATCTTGTCAGGATTTGGAGCACCATACCTATGTGTCTGGCATGTTTTTAAAGCTGCTGGGGGTGGAATTTGGCAATGGTCAGACATGTGGGATTCAGCTCCCTACCTACAGTACTTCACTGATGTATTACAGGGCTGGCCCAAGAATATGTTTTTGAAACATCTAGCTCTGGGAACCAGCAGGTAGCATGGTGGTTAAGGCAATGCATTTCTACATGGCTGACTGTGGTTCAAGTCCTGGACCTGATGTCTTGAAAATCACACCAGACACATGTGCATGAGTGCCAAAAATCTCAAGAGAAGAATGGAGGAGAAGGGATTGCAGCATGGCTATCTTGTCTTGGTGGTGACTTCTCACTTTCGTTCTCACTCTCTTTCTCCTCTCTCTGGTGAGTGCATATGCCCTACAGCAACAACCTTAAAAATATAATAGTCCAGTTCTGTGTGATTCCTGAGTGATGACATTAGTGTCTAACCCAAAATTTCAGAGTCAGGGCTGGGAGATAAGTGTCCTGTTGTTCTTTGGAGACCATGGAGCCCTGGGATCCCATCAAGAAAATATAGGCACGATGAACACACACTTTAGTTTCCAGGAGACTACTGATTTGAATATTCCCTTTGACTGTTAAAATGTCCTGAACAGTCCCATACTCTAACTGAAATAACTTTCACACAAACAGAGTGCACACAATAATTTCCCACCCCAGTTATAGTGTCTTCGTGAAGAAAATAGCTTCCTCTGTCTATTCTCTGTTTCCTAGGTGTTTAACACATGTCCTGGCACAGAGTCAGCACAGTTGCTGCAAAGGTAGTTTCTATCCAAAAACATTTACAGAAAGGACACAGACTGTGGGCTTGGACAACAGTTAAAGATTTAAAACATTTTTTTTAAGGAAAAAGACATACCAAAACTCGCCATCTTCCTTGTCCTCATAGAGCTGGTTTTTTCTCTGGTCCTGGGTTTCCTGCCACTCCCGAGACCTAAGAGTAGAGAGACAGACCACAGGGTGAGAGCTTCTAGAACATTTTATCTTGTCTACAAGTGGCCTAACAAGGACTTTTTGCAAAAGCACTATTAGTTTCTGGGGAGCAAGGGAGAGTATTATACTACCTAGAGACAAGATTTGGTTATTCTCCATGTGCTTATTGGCTTTCAAGCTTCTGACCCTGGCTTAGTCCTCTTTCTTGAGCTCTAGGTGGGTCTATGCTACAGTCTCTTCTGCATCTCCCCTAGAGTCCTGTAATGGCCTCAAACCAACTTGCCCAAACCATGCTCATCTTTTATCTTTTCCTATAGCTCAACTGAGAATATGAGGAGTCATCCTCTTTCACATCCCCCACATCAAAACAATCACCAAGAATTATTTATCTATCAACTGTATTTCTTTTCTTTTCTTTTTTTTGGAGAGGTTTTTGCTATAGGACACATGTGCTCGCCAGACAGAGAGACAGAGAGACAGAGAGACAGAAAGCGAGAAATCACCCCCCAGGAGGGATGACCATGCCGCAATCCCTTCTCCTCCATTCTCCTCTCGAGATCTTGGACATGCACGCATACGCCTGGCGTGAGTTTTAAGCCATTGGGTCTGGGACTAGAATCACAGTGGACTACATGGGAATCCAGTGACATAGCCATTATGCTAACTGCTGGTCCCTCAACTGTATTTCTTAACCTCTCTCAAAGTCATCTACTCATTTCCACTCTTAACTGCTCTTATGCTAGTTAAGGGTACCCTTTCCTCCCTCTTGGATATCTAACTGGTCTCCCTGAACTTGGTCCTGCTCACTTTCCTGTCATAAAAGTGCTATTTCTAAAACATAAACATAATCATAATATATATGACTATGTAATTCCCCTGCCTAAAACACATCTCTGGTTCCCTATTACTCTTAAAGTCAGGGGGAAGGGTAAAGGAGACTTCAGATTCCGGAAAGAGAACCCTGCCTTGTGACCACTGCTTCAGCTTTCCCAGTTCCCTGCTTCCTCCTCTCTCCCCTTCCTTGAATTCTGTACTCCAGCAATAATGTCTTTATTTTCTTAAATATTCCTGTGTACACTGCTACCACTTGGCTTTCACCATGATGCTCCCTCCATCTGGAGCTCTGTCCCTAATCTCATATCTGTAACCTGCTAACTCTTAGTCATCTTTCTTTGTAGAGGGCACTTCTTCTGGGAAGCCTTGTTTAGCCTCCTGTCTATCCACTGCATGCTGAGAGTTGGCACTCCTCCTTTGAGCTCCCAGAGCCCCTATACCACTTCTGTCTCAGCCCTCGGCACCCTGTGTTGCTATTGCTTGTGTGTTTATTGCTATCTCTCGCTAGACTCCAAGCACCATGAGATCAATGAGACTTGCTTGCCATTGTATCATCATAGGTGCTTAACACCTGCCTTGGCACAGAGTGGGCACACGATAATATTTGTTTGCTCACTTGCTGCTTAATCAACTACTGCTGACCACTTCATCAGGATGATGTATTCCAAAAGTTGTAGTCCCAGCGTCTGGTGAAGAGGAGACTCTCTCGGGCAGAAGGGAGCAGCTGCTCCTCCTTTACCAACTCTTCACAGTAGAGATGTGCTCATAGGCATTGGGCTCCAGAGCCATAGAAGTTTAATGAGATCTTTCATGTGGAAGAGTTTGCATGGAGAACCTGGGTCACCTCTGTGCTGGGACAGCAGGGCAGGGACCACTACTCAGGCTTCTGGCTATAGGCTGAGCCAGTCAGATTTGTTATTGTAAAATGGCAATTTTATAATTAAGCGATAATTACATTTTCTGCAGTGTGTAAGGGAAAATAAATGTAGTGTAAATCAATATGCTATCGATTCATGCAAGTTTGCCTTTAAGTGTGTGCGACTGAAATTTCAATTATGCCTAAGATTAGACCATCCGGCTCTCTCCATCCATCTCCATTCTTAAAAAGTAAGGAAGAAATCGACCACCTGCATGGAGACAGTGATTATGCAGTCCCCATTGCTTCCTTCTAGCCTGCTTTCTGGAGGGAATTGGTGACTCTCAGGACTGAGCCAAGGTCCACAATCTTACAGAGTAGGTACTGTCAGAGCCACCTCTCCAACCCCTACTCTGCATATGTTGCCCCCTGTTCAAAAACCTTCATTAAGGCCCTTGCCTGTTTGGTATAAATCTGAGCTTTGCTAGTCATAGCTCCCAATGCTCTCTCCCCTGCCTTCCTCTGTCTCAGGCCAGGCTCTTGGCTCTGAACACACTACATGTGTTCTTGGCTCAGAAGCATGGCCTTCACGTCTCCTCCCACCTAATGATCTCTTCTGAAGTGAGTCATACTTCCTCCATGTGAGGCCAATTCAAGTTCAGTTTCATCCATGCTTTCCCTGAACACACCAGCCCAGGGAGGTATCTCCTCCTTATATCTGCTGTCTCTCGTTTTCTTTACTGATCATTTGATATGTGTCAAGGAAGACAAGGGCAAAACATCACCTGGTGACTCTGTTGCATATTCTCCTACCCTAGGGAGTTGGTCATTCCAATTGCCTTCCCTCTATGTCTCAATAGCCAACCCCAAATCAGGGATCTTGCCTAATCAGCGGCCATGCTGACAGCTTGCAGTAATGAAGGAGGATGGGAAAGGCCAGAGGTTATCAGGATTTACATGGAAAAGCAAAGGATAGCCTGGAAAGGAGAAAGAAGAGGGGCAAGAGAAAAGGAGAAAGGCCAAGGGTGCATGGAAGCACTGCCTAGGCAGAACTGGTACCTGGCTTTGTAAGTTCATTCCCCTTCTGCGCGGAAAGGTGGCTGCCCTCTTCTCTAGGGGGGATCCGAGGTCATAGCCAGGCTTATTCTGTGTGTTTATTTTTGCCATTTCCTCCTTTCTTCCCTCTCTTCCTTGCTTCCCTACTCCTCCACCAATTACGCATTTCTCTCACATTTGCTAAGTGCCACCTGTGCTGGGCACACACCAGTTGCTAGAGCTCACAGAGAGAGCTGAGATAACGTGGCCTGTGGCATCAGGCCAGTGCATGGGCAGCCCAGAATCAGGCCTGGAATACTAGCTGATTCTCTACCTACCTCCCAGGATGCCCAGCTCCCACTGTATTGATTTCCACTGTTTGTCAGGTTATGTCTGTTTGCATTTCCTTTCAGATCATGTCCCAGTGATGCTGCTATGGCCACTGTGTCACAACACTTTTCGTGGACCAGGCCCTCAAAGGGATGTGAGGGGTGCAGACATCACTGGCTGCAGAGCAGAGAAGGCACCTGTTGTTCCCCTCAGTCCTTCTCTGGACCACCTTCTTAGTCTCAGTTATCAAGGGGCTGAGACTGGGGATCAGTCTCCCTTGGCAGGTGGGAAATGCCAGCTCAGCTCTGTGGGGCAACACTGATCACCCAGTTGTACCCCCAATGGGATATGTCCCCAGGGGACTCCGAGACTCACTTAGCTCTACTCACTCCTACTGTGAGCAAACCGCCACTCCAGGACTGAGTTCAGATAAATAGAGCAGGATTGAAGGCCCAAGTGAACAGAAAAATAAGTCATTCAGATTTCACCTCATTTTCCTCAGGCCTTCAGATGTGAAGTCCTGCTCATCCTGATGATGTGGTATTATTAGGATCAGGAACCCCTGAGATCTCTTCTCTCCATCTCTCCTGCCAAGTGGTTCCTATCCTGCCGCTCCCCTTCCCTTATTTTATTATTACTATTATTTTTAGAAACTCTGGGTATGTGGCCTCAGAGCCATAGACTGTAGCCTTCTGGAGGCAGATACTGGGTCTTGTCATCCATGTATACTCCACAGCACCCCCCTAACACAGTGCATCTGGTGGAGTGATCACAGTAGGTGTCTAACAGAGCCAATGAATTGCATCATGGGACTCTGAAGTGGACCAGCATCCACACTTAGAATGACCAGGACAGGGCTGCAGTGAGATCCTCAGAAGGGAACAAAGAAGCCACCCTTGTGGGCAGGGAGCTCTCTTAACAGTAAGCTCTCTGTGAAGGATGAAGAGAGGTTTCTAGAAGCCATACCCATCCCTCCAGCGTCCTCTCCACTCGGTGTTACCCCAGGGGTTCCACAGGCGGATGATTTCTTCCCAGCCTCTCTTGTACTGAATCTGTAAAGAAGAACAGAAAAGGAAACTCTCTGTGCTCCCTGGCAAAAGTCAGCAGAAAGAGAGAATATGAATGCAGCTGCTTTTTACCTCCAAGGACTAATTTAACTTCTGACCTCATTTGGCTGCAGCCAGAAAAAAAAATTGAAAAGAAAAAAAAAATCAATGTCTGCCTGCTGCCTGTGTGGAGTTGAAATGAGATAGAGGAGAAATCAGCCCCTCTTTCTGCTCAGCCCCTCACAAGGGCAGGTGCAACTTTATCATTCCATACCATTACATCCTAGAACCCAGAGAGCCGAGATTTAACAACAGATAAATAGCAGGGGATGTTGCTTCGGGCTGCAGAGGAGGGATCTTTATGGGTCCCTGGCCTCCTGCAAGCTCTGCCACAGACAGCATCTCTATTCCACACACACGCAGCCTGCTTGCCTGCCAGCAGCCCCTTGGGAGCAGAGGTCCAGTCTTGACAGCACTGTCACCATCAAGGAGTATAAAGGAGGCTGATTTGAGCAAGATTGGGACAGCCTGGGAGCTGAAATACCCCAGGCTAGCCCAGCCCTAAGGCTAGCCTCCTCATCTTGCATCCTGGTGCTGGGCAGATACCTCAGTCTGAGAACAGATGGCCAACCACGGCCTGGACTTTAACTCCTTCCTCTTCAAGAAGTACATCATTAGTCACGCCAGGTACAAAGGTCAGCACCTTTGCTCCTTGGCAGCACTTAAGCCAGAGGGCAGGACTGTGGGAAAAGTTACAGCAAAACAGTGGCAAACCCTTGAAACCTCCTTTTTTCCAGAAGCCAGGAACTATTGGCCTGATGAGAAGAATTAAAATACGATTGAGTTGTAGCTGTGCTATCGATTGGTGCTAATGTTGTCTGAGGAGACAGACATGCCCGGAGGGATGAGAAGATGGGGCGACCATGTTCAATGATCGCAGGTGAGGGGAGACTGAGAAAAGTCTGGATAGAGACAGAAGAGAAGCCCAGGTATAGGGACGGGGCTCAGAGCTAGACTCTGCTTAACACAAGTTAAGTCCGTCAGTTCTCTGAAGCAGATGTTTATTATATAGTCTGTCTTACAGAGGAGAAAATCACCAGAGAGGTTAAGCAACTTTCTCAAGGCCACAGAATAATTGACACAAGCTGAGTTCTAATCCCTTTCTGTCCTGCCCTCAGGCATGCCAACCCTTGCACATGGTATACTTTTTTTTTTTTTTTTTTTTTTTTTTTTTTTTTCTTTCGGGACG